GCGCCAAAAGAACAAAGTAAGAAGAACGCCGGCGACGGCGCTCCGAAGAAGAAGAAGAAGTTCGACAAGCGCAAGATCAAGTGTCACAACTGTGGCATCATGGGGCACTTCAAGTCGGAGTGCAAGAAACCACCGAAGGAGAAAGCTCTCCTGGCCAAAGGAGGCGATGATGGAGACATGATGCTCATGGTCGAAGTATGCGAGCTAATGGACGAGGATAGTCCAGCTCCGAAGGCGCCGGCTACAGAGGTTGTCACGCTCATAGAGGAGGCAGTTTATCTTCACGATAAGAAGAGGATGAACACGTCGAGGCACGTATGGTACCTCGACACGGGCGCTAGCAACCACATGACCGGCGACAAGGACCAGTTTTCTGAGCTCAGTGTTTCGGTGGGAGGCACGGTTCGGTTCGGCGACGGACGGACCGTTGACATCGCAGGGCGAGGTACTGTCCTGTTTGAGTTGAAGAGCGGCGGTCACAAGGTACTCACAGATGTATACTATATTCCCAAGCTAAAGAGCAGCATCATAAGTCTTGGTCAGCTCGAGGAGCGTGGTTGCAAGATTGTGCTCGAAGATGGCTATCTATGGGGGTATGATCGTCAGAGGATGCTAATTATGAAGGTGCAGAGGTCACCTAACAGGCTTTACATCCTCAACTTGGATCGTGTGGATCCAGTATGTCTCTTGTCAAGCATGGACGACTCGGCATGGAAGTGGCACGCGCGCTACGGTCATCTAAATTTCCAGGCTCTTCGGCAACTTGGACAAAAGGAGATGGTACGTGGTCTACCGTGCATCAATCATGTCGACCAAGTGTGCGACGGTTGTCTCATTGGGAAACAAAGGCGAGCCCCGTTCCCAAGAGAGGGAAACTTTAGAGCGAGTAAAGCTCTTGAGTTGGTCCATGGAGACTTGTGCGGACCGATTACACCGGCCACCCCTACCGGAAATAGATACTTCTTGCTCGTCGTCGACGACTTCAGCAGATTCATGTGGATCGTGTTGTTGAAGACGAAGGACCAAGCTTTGCAAGCCTTCAGGATAATAAAGATGGCGGCTGAAGTAGAATCTGAAGCCAAGCTGAAGGCCCTCCGTACCGATCGGGGGGGTGAGTTCAAGTCCCGTGCATTCACGGATTTTTGCGAAGCTCAAGGGATCAAGCGGTATCTTACGGCACCATATTCACCGCAGCAAAACGGTGTTGTGGAACGGAGGAATCAAACCGTGGTGGCGATGGCACGAAGCATGTTGAAAAGTAAAGGCATGCTGGGCAAGTTTTGGGGTGAGGCGGTTAATACGGCCGTTTATTTGCTGAACCGGGCTCCAACCAAGAGTGTGGTTGGGATGACGCCGTACGAAGCATGGTACGGACACAAGCCCACGGTTGATCATCTTCGCACTTTCGGGTGCGTGGCGCATGTGAAGACAGTGACCGGGCATACTAGCAAATTGGCGGATCGAAGTACTCCAATGGTGTTGGTTGGCTATGAAAAAGGTACGAAGGCATACCGTGCGTGCAACCCCTCTACCAACAAGGTGGTTGTGACGCGCGACGTGGTCTTCGAAGAAGCAAGGTCATGGAATTGGAACTCCGCCGAGCCGGTATACCCGTCTTCCGATGAAATTTTCAACGTTGTTTACGATGATTACGAGCATGCAGACATTGGTGATCAACCGGAGACGTCGGCCGCGACAAACGGCGCGGACGGCGCGGCAGAAAATGGAGACGCGCCAGCTACTCCCGCTGCGTCACACGCGCACGCGGGAGAAGGAACGGTTGGTGCGCCCGATGACACGCCAGGCAATGCGGGCTGCGCTCGATCTGGTGGGTCAGGTACGCGTGGAGGCTCTTCCCCTCAAAACCCAGGTGGCTCGGCTACTAGGCTGGGAAGCCCACGTGGTGTGGAGGTTGGCCCACAAAGCCAACCACGTGATGGTGAAGAAACACCAGTTGTGGCTGGTTCGCCCACTGTACGTGCAGGAAAAGCACGGCCAGCTACGTCTAGTTCGTCCAGTGGACACGCGGCCAGCTCGGAAGAACCTCAGTCGCCAGAAATCGGAAGTGAGGCAGCTTCAGAGGATAGTTCTTCGTCTTCGAATGAACAGGAGACGAGGGAACGTCCGCCGACACCAGTACGTCTTCGACCAGTGGTGGATTTATATCCAAAGGAAGCACTTCCAAAAGTAAATCCTGTGAAAATTAAAAGAAGAGGACGACAGTGTCTGCTTAGCGTCGAGGAACCGACGAAATTTGAAGATGCAAATACGGAGGAGTGTTGGCGTCGTGCTATGGATGAGGAGTTGGGATCGATCCGAGACAACAATACATGGGAGCTTGTGGATCCACCCAACGACCATAAAATCATAGGGCTCAAGTGGGTGTACAAGGTCAAGAAAGATGCCGAAGGAAACTTGGTGAAGCATAAGGCAAGGCTCGTAGCCAAAGGATACGTGCAAGAGCAAGGTGTAGACTTCGAGGAAGTGTTCGCTCCTGTCACAAGGATGGAATCGGTGAGGCTAGTTATAGCTCTCGCGGCTCAAGAATCTTGGAGGCTACATCACATGGATGTAAAATCCGCTTTTTTGAACGGGGAGTTAAAAGAAGAGGTGTATGTGAAGCAACCACCGGGTTACATCAAAAAGGGAGAGGAACACAAGGTGTTGAAACTACACAAGGCATTGTACGGGCTATGCCAAGCTCCTCGGGCGTGGAACATCAAGCTTGATCGTACACTAGTTTCTCTTGGTTTTGAGAAAAGTCCACTGGAGCATGCTATGTACAAGCGAGGTAAAGGCAAGGATCGTCTCCTAGTGGGCATCTATGTTGATGATCTCTTGATAACTGGAGCAGATGAGGAGGAGATTGCTAGATTCAAGCTACAAATGAAGAAGCTTTTCAAGATGAGTGATCTAGGGCTCTTGACTTACTATCTCGGGCTCGAGGTACATCAAAAGCCGGAGGGAATCACACTATGCCAGGAGGCATATGCAAAGAAAATTCTTGAAAGCTGTAGCATGGAGGACTGCAATCCAAGTCATGTCCCAATGGAGCCTCGACTTAAACTTAGCAAGAGGAGCCAAGCACCCGCGGTTGATGCAACGGAGTATAGAAGTGTGGTCGGAAGCCTAAGGTATCTTGTGAATACAAGACCAGACTTGGCCTATTCTGTTGGCGTAGTGAGTCGCTTCATGGAAGCACCCACGACAGAACATTGGGCAGCTGTGAAACAAATACTCAGGTACATCAAAGGGACAACTAACTTCGGTTGTGTCTATTTGAGAGAAAAGCAGAAGGAGATGGTGGAGCTAGTTGGCTACAGTGATAGCGACTTGGCAGGAGATATTGACGACCGTAAAAGTACCTCGGGCGTGGCATATTTCTTGGGAAGAAGCATTGTGAGTTGGCTATCACAAAAGCAGAAGGTGGTCGCATTATCATCCTGTGAAGCGGAGTATATTGCAGCTGCAACCGCGGCAGGTCAAGGTGTGTGGCTAGAAAGGCTACTCGGTGACCTCACTGACAAGGAACCGGAAGGAGTGGTGCTCAATGTTGACAACAAGTCCACGATTGCTCTATGTAAAAATCCAGTGCATCATGATAGAAGTAAGCACATTGATATAAGGTATCATTACATACGGGATTGCGTGGAAGAAGGCAAGATTGAAGTCAACTACACTTGCACCGACGATCAGCTTGCAGATATCCTGACCAAATCTTTGGGACGACAGAAGTTCATGGAGATGCGGGGAAGGATCGGCGTCCAAGCTGTGAAGTAAGGACATCGTGGTTGGAGGGGTGATTGTTGGAATCAACCACGTAGTAGAAGTCCTGTCCGGTATGGACTAGGAACAGTCACCGACTCGGTTTGGGTTAGCTAGCTTGTACTAGTATAAATATAGCTGTACCCCTACGCTGTAACTCAGATCAATCAAAGCAATAAGATCAACAGGACCTACAAGGCCCTGTTTAGCCATCAACTCGTGTGTTCCGCGTCCTCGTGTGTATCGTGTGTTCCGGCGTCGGCGAAACTGATTTGCTAGTTTGACTAAGCGTGAGGCTGTGCAAAGCTAGCTAGACGTGTGTGCCTGCTTGCTGTGTACGTGCATATCTCCAGGAAAAAGCCAGTTTGTGTGCACGTGTACGTCGGAAAGTACTCGACGTACGGGATCTGTGCCAACAATCGTTGCCACCCGAACCCCGTCGACGCAGCTTTGTCACAACGACAAATAACCTAGAGGAAATCCGCGGACACTCTGAAGAAAGCTAACTATCGCAACCATTACCATGACCCCGACATCGCTCGCCACCGCCGTCGTAGCCCCCGAAACCACGACAGCATCACCTCATCTTCAACCGTCCATCGCCGTGACCATCGGAACAACCCACACCATCCTCACACAACCACTGGTCCCTCCAATAGGTCACCACTCCAAGAATGATGCCCTCAAGGGACTACGACATAGGACACCACCATCGCTCGATCCCGAGAGATCTAGGGTTTCCTTCACAATTGTCCGTATAGAGAGCAAGCACCACACATCGGCGACGGATTCGCGCCGACAGGAACCGAAGTTGAAGGGCCTCGACCCACTTTAAGATGCTGCTACCTACCAACTCCCTCAGGCACGAGGCCCCAAGAGCGCATTTTCGTCGTATTCATGCAGTGTGGTGACTAGTCAGAAAAGTTCTTTACCAAGTTAGCAATTACAAGTGATTACAGCTTCTTCTGACTCTAGGAAACTTTCATCAAAACTTAACTGAAATAACCAGTTTTTGGGAGCTTCCCACAATCTAACGTCCAATATTTTTGCACGCTCTGTGACAAGTGGAACTCACTTGCCATCTTATGCATGATACATGCAGGCAATATCAAGTCAGACTAATCAACGATGGCGCGCGTAACCCAGTTTGGGATCATTTGCCTATATAAACAGCAACTAAACCACGTGTGGATGAGCTTGTAATATTCTTGAGCGCTAAAATCGAGCACAATACAATGGCCTCGTCTTCTTCTTCGCCTCCACGGGAGCCTGCACGAGAATCTGCACCGGCGCCTCCAGCGGAGCCTGCATCGGTACCTGTAGGACTGCCTGCACCACAGCGTGCAGCGGAGGCTGCACCGCTGCCTCCGGCGGTGCCTGCACCCAAATGGGTCATGCCGTCCGTCTCGAACCTTGCGCAGCTCCTGCCGACGGGCACGGTGCTGGCATACGAGGCGCTGTCCCCAACTTTCACCAACCACGGCAATTGCAATATCGCCAACAAGGTGCTCACCGGGGTGATGATATTGGTCCTCGCCATCATGTGCGTATTCTTCTCCTTCACGGACAGCATCGTCGGCAGCCGCGACGGAAAGCTCTACTACGGCGTGGCGACATGGGACGGCTTCAACGTGTTCAACTTCTCCGGCGACGAAGAGAGGGGGGAATGGACCGATCTCGACTTCAAGAAGCTCCGTCTCCGGTGGCTGGACATCGTCCAGGCCATCTTCACGGCCGTGGTTTTCCTCACGGTGGCGTTCAGTGACGTGGGGCTGCAGAACTGCTTCTTCCCACAACCCGGCGGGAATACCCAGCAGGTGCTCAAGATCCTGCCGCTGGGCATGGCGATCGTGTCCTCCTTTGTGTTCACCATCTTCCCCACCAAAAGAAAGGGCATCGGCTTCAACGACATCACTCCTCGCCAGACCGCAAGTCAATCAAACGCAGTTTGACTCCGAGAATTTGAAGAACACAGGACCAGCAAAAACCCAAAATGCAAAGCGATGCAACGATCAATTGGTGGTTCTAAGCCGTAAATAAGAAGTTTGCCTGCAATGCTGGCTGGCTGTCATAACTTATAACATACTTTTGCCCTAGCTGTAATTCTATTTCAGTTTATACTTCTCAACTTTGAACAGTATACTGGCGCACACCTGGTCTCTTTGTGAACGAGTAATGGTACCGGGGAGGTCGTCTCGACCCCTTTTGATCTGAAAAAAAAAACATTCGGCAGCCCTACCTGACCGCTGAGGAACCTAGCTACAATTAGCTTCTACTCCCTCCGTCCCATAATATAAGAGCGTTACACTCTTATATTATGAGACGAAGGGAGTAGTTTGCTGACAGAAGAAAGGGTGTGACCCCGATTTCAGCTAATAGAGATCTCAAGTTACAAAGTATTTTGATCGTCATACACGTCACTATCCGATCACAAACCTAAGATACGAAACTGTAACAACAAAGAGGCAATCTCAGGCTAAACAAGGTAGGTACCCAAATCAGCGGGCTAGCTAAGAACACTCAACTAAACACAACATCCGAATCACAACACTGGGTAATCATCATAAGTAACTGCACTAGGTTCACAGGCCATTTTGGTTGGAACTAGGCCAGGTTTTTCTAGCTTTCCACATCCCACAAAATATTCCTGCAATTACAGCAGCAGCCACACCTCCCTCACCAACCAGATTGTTTTAATTAGGCCAGATATTAAATTAGTGATTGCTGCTGAAGCAAAGTGGCAGTTGATGCCTATTGCGCAGCTCCATGCATTCCAAATATATCTAGCCAATGGACGGGAAGAGAAGAGAGAACAATAGTTTCCTGACAAGCACATAAAAGACGAGCTAAGTTTTTAGTTTTAGAACAACTATGGTTGACATATACTTTGCTCTCAGACAACAACCAGACTAGCATCTCTGATATTGAATTGTAGATACACGATGGTGAAGTTTCACCAAGATTTGAGCAGGAGCTAACTCAGCCTTGAATGTATTTTATTTTTTACCTGAGCCTTTAACAGATTTGAGGGAGTTGATATACAAAAATATGTCAAATCTTGCCTAAAGTAGAGGTTGATGGTAAATATTAACCTGAAGAAAATATTTAGCTTGGGGACCATGGCCCATGTTGACCATAAATATTGCCTGCCACTATAATAGCCTGACACAAACATGATCAGATTTGAAAGTTAGATTAAGCACACCAACTCAAAGGCGTGTTATTACTCCTGGAATCTGCTTGTTTACCGACTGCCAGGTACACTCGGCGAAGGCCTTTGCCGAGAGTTACAACTCGGTACATGCGAGAAATAGCGCGGGCTCTGTAAGCAACTCCCTCTTTTTTTAATACAAATTGTTTTTAAGTTGCTTTATTAATCTCTAATCATTCAAATACATGCGGACGTTTTTGAATACACGATCAATATTTTTTGTGTAGAAGTTGTACATTTTTCAGATACACATTGAACAATTTTCAAATACATATTGAACATTTTATTCGAAATACAAATTGAACACTTCTCAAATGCACATTGGTCATCTTTTAATACATGTTGAACATTCTTTTAACCCGGTTCACAATTTTCATAAATTCCATGAATTATTTTAAATGCACACAACCTTTGCTATGTTAGACATTTATTTAAAATGTGAAAAATATTTTTTAAAACGTTCCAAAACATTTTTATAAAATTACACGAGGTTTTGTTTACAGTGTAAAACATTTAAAAAATGACATGGACATCTTTTTGAAACGCTTGAATATTCTTTTAAATGTCATTATCTGTTTTTGAACGCTACCACACATTTCATTACAATTTATTATGTGATTATTTTACATTGTATAATTTTTTAAATGAAATGTACATATTTTTGGAATACATGAACAATTAAAATGTCACGATACAAACCAAGCAAACATTCCTGACTGAGTCCGCTCACTACGACCTTTCTCTTAATTAAAGGCAACGTGAACCTCTCTCTTGCTTATAGCGCTAGCGCTATTTCTTGCCTTTTGCAACTCGTACCGCAGTCTCGCCTTTACGCCTTTACGCACGAGGCAGTGGGCTAGCCAAGTACTGTGGTGCCTCTAGCTTGAGTTATTTTCCTTTTTTTTCTCTCTCTATTATTTTTTTCTTATCTGGTTTCCTGCTTGTCTTCCTTTTTTCATTGGTTTTTCTGTATTCTTGCGTTTCTTTACCAGTTATGTTAGGGTTTTCCCTTTTTCTCACATGTCTATTTTTAAATATACATTTTACATTCTAGTATATATGCGGAATATTTATTTGATATACATTGATTTTCTTTAAATACACGATATACATATATTTGCCAATACTTCCTTTGAAAATTTTCTTTAATACAAGGTAAACATTTTTAAATACATGGTGAACATTTTTTAGTGGCATGAAACATTTTTTTAACCTATGTAAACATTTTTTTACATTGTATAATTGTATTGTTAACGGTGACCAACATTTTATAAAACACGTGAATATTTATTTAAAGTGTCACATACATTTTTTTCAATGGTAGTACACATTTTCTATACTATGCGGATATTTGTTTCTGAAATGGCACATATATTATTTTGAATTATGAAGACATATTTCTAAATTTTGAACATTCGTTTTGTTTGTGGTGATCCTCTGGAAGCAGAGATGGCAGCCATGGACGAAGGGCTTCGACTTGCGCTCCACAGGTCCAACTTGTCGTTGGTTGTGGAGACGGAATGCGCTGAGTTGTTGAAGATGGTGCAGTCTAAAGATGTCGAACGCTTGAGGTATGCGAACCAGGTCAATGAGATCAGAAGGATTCTGGCTCATGAAAGGAACATTAGTCTAGCTAAAATAAGTAGACATGCAAATGTAGCGAGTCACACCCTTGCTTGTATGGGGCGCTTGCAACAGCGCACAACCTGTTGGCTTCGAAACTCCCCTGTGAAAATAGCTAGCATTGTCATATCTGAATGTAAACAAAATGACTAATGAATGAAAAGTTTCTTTCCCGTGGAAAAATAATGCTTTGTCATATATGAACAACATCCGAACGCACGAATCTCCAACACATTGAACGGTTGACCAATGCACACTTTTGTAATAACGTACGTGGTAGAAAAATCACCCTCTTTCCTGCAGTGTGGCTCCCATTCTTTTTGGTGCAAGCACACAAGTAACTATTGTCATGCTTGCATGTAGATCCTGCTTCATTTGTTTCAAAAACCCACGTGGAATCAACCAGTCTGACGAGATCAGTAGGAAATTCACGCAAGTTAAAAATTACTACATGGTTATGTAAAAGCCGATAATTTTCTTCATGAGAAAAGTCAATACTATTGGAATTAACCATTTCTTTTACGAAGCATAATTTGCAGATGAGATAGTTTAGCAAAACACACCCCTACTCTGTCTCAAGGGCGCCATGTGTGATTTTTGAATCCGCATGACCCATTTGTAATCCTACACAGCTTGTTTTAGAGCAATAGAGTGAGCGTGTTTCCCCTCGAAAAAAGAAGAAGGTAGACACAAACCGTGTGGCAATCCGCGTCCAGCCCTGGGATGACGCACGATGCTATCCCTTCGTCATCATCCAGTGCAAATTCTAGGCCACCCAACGTCATCCCATATCCCAGCATCATCATTTTTCTTCCGTGAAGTAAGTAAGCAACGCACTGTGATTTGTATCTGCGTACGTATAGCTTGGAAGATACAGCATGCAATGCACCGAGGCTCCTCTGGCCCCGCTCGAAAAGTATAGAAAACGGTCTGTCTCACTATTGTTAGACTTAGAGATATATTTCTGTTATAATCTCAAACTAACTCTATCTCTTCCTCTCCCGTAGCTCTTTCTATCTCCTATGTAACTACCGAATCCCAAAGAGATCGGAGCAATCTTGTAAGCCACGGCAGGGGCGTTTCCTGCCTCAATCAATATATAAACACGCGGCTCCCTCACGAGGGAGTAGGAACGCTTCCACCTAACATGGTATACAGAGCCATCCTCTTCCCATCGATCTAGCCAGCAACCTCCTTCCTCGACTACCCTCGCCATGGCGTCCTCATCCACAGTTTCCCTCAACCTTGGTGCTCTCCCATCTGAGAAGCTCACCAAGACCAATTTCATCCTATGGAAGGCACAGGTCATGCCGGGCTTGCGAGGAGCGCAGGTCACCGGCCTCCTGGACGGATCAGATGCAGCGCCACCGAAGACGGTGCAGCAGCAGCAGGCGGACAAAATCACCGCCACGGAACCCAATCCTTTGTATGCGTAGTGGATATCAAAAGATCAGCAGGTTCTGAGCCATCTCCTGAATTCTCTGTCAATGGAGATTCTCACCCAAGTTGCGAGCAAGGAGATGACGTTCGATCTTTGGACTGCCATCACCACCCTGTTCGCCTCGCAGTCCCAATCGCGCATCACCAACCTACGCATCGCCATCACCAACACAAAGAAAGGCTCCATGTCCAGCAGCGCCTTTATCTCCAAGATGAAGAGCTTGGGAGATGAGCTTGCAGCGGCAGGTCGCCCCGTCTCGGACCCGGAGATGGTGGACTATGTTCTTGCTGGCCTCGACAGATATTATGACCCTGTTGTGGCAGCGATCGGTGCAGTAAAGAACCAAATCTCTGTGGACGATCTGTTTGCTCAGATTGCGGCGTTCGATCAGCGCATGGAGATGCTCGGCGATGGTCCTGAAGCCGGCTTCAAAACTTCCGCCAATATGATGTACAGAGGGCGTGGGCGCGGCTATGGCAGAGGACGCGGACGCAGCAACAGGGGCCGCGGCCGAGGCAGGCACCCTTCCCCAACTCCATCTGGCGGCAACAGCGGCGGCGGCGGCCGTGGTCGTCCACAACAGCAGTGACATCAACAAACCAGGGACTATCCAAAATGCCAGATATGTTACAAGCACCATCCAGGAGGTGCTCGTGACTGTTGGCACAGGTACGATG